CAACAAATACACAACCAAAGGATCCCAAATTGATGTGTTCACACCTAAGTTTTTCACAGCGCTTAGACACTCTTTTGTGGTTACCTGCAATTTTTTCAGGGCAAATGATGACTGATGTTGTATTGCTGGCAAGCCAAAAAGCGTATTCATGTGAGAACTAAAAATCAATCGTTTGTTGTTATACCGACGACACAGAATTTCCCAGCATGTTTCATAGTTTTCGGAACTAATATTTAGATGCTGTATTAGTTTCTCGGCTTCTACCTTAACCTTACTTTTCAAATGTTGCATTATTTGCACGTTTGAAATGAATTTATTCTTGTGGATGATTTCCATGAAGAGATCTTTGGCGTAGAATGCTCTTGATGAGATACGGACCACATCTCGCTTTTGATTGACTTTTTGAACTTTTTGTAGCTGTCTTTGAACATGTAGTATGTTTTTTCGTACTGTACGTCTTCTGTGGTAAGCTCGCTGTCGATCTACAGTGTAAGGAGTCCACGGCGTTCCAGTGAAGTTGTAAGTTACGTAAGTTGTCTTCCAACTCCCACTTTTCGGTAAGTAACTCAAGATTAGTGGTATTGATCGCTCGTTCTAGTGCTTTAAAATTGCTTTTTAATAAGTTTGCTGTGGTTACCTGTATCCACTCGACTGGTACTAGATGGACCTGATGTGGTTGCTGATGCAGCCGTTAATGCAGTTATTAATGGTGGACGCCAATCTAAAGTGACGCCGGATAAAGGAGTAGCAAGTCTCAGAACTGACTTCTTTTCTTGATCAGTAGATAGATGTTGCTGGATAATTCACCGACAGTCGGTGTAATATGATTTTACTTTTTAGTAGTGATTTTTCGAGAAATAAGTGTAGTCTTGGTCCTTGAACTAACTCAACTTGATATGATTGGCTTGGAACTCTCTCCAGTACTGATCCAGAGTCTCCAATCGCCTTGATACGTAAGACGGGGTTTTTCTTTCAGCTCCATCTTTCTTGAAGTTGGTAAACAATTGCTTGAAGAAGTTGTTGATGAGTCGATAGGCAATTTTTCATTTTTTTTTTTTGATTAATGTACGATTTAATTGATAATCCGGTGATGGATGCTCTTCCAAGTCATGGGGATGATGCTGTTGCCAAGTGTTCCGGTATCCTAATGCAATAAGTGCACCTTCTTAATCTCGTCGGTGAGACCCGCTTGTGGAAGGCCGATTTGACCGATCCCCTATTGCAGTTCTGACACAGAAACACAAAGGGAAAAAAAGCTTTTCGTGATTGATGGAGTGATTATTACCAATCACTGCTGTTGGTGAGGATGTGTGCTGTAGTAGGAACTTGTTCACTGCGCAATTGCTTGAAATAGTCTCTTGTGGAGTCTTTGCTGAATAGGCGGTAATACACGGGCAGCACTAAACGGGCGAAACGAAGTCACGTTATCGAACCGCGTGGTCCCGCTTTAATCTCGAAGGACCATTAAGATGTACGAGCTGCTGTGCTGTACAATCTTAGAAGTTGACAAAATTGATAAAGACTTGAACTGATTATTTAATTTATTCTGATATTTTTGATAGTGACTACAATGCGCGACGGCGAATAATTGCGTACTGAATTGATGATAATAAATAATGATACAATAAGATAAAAGTGCTGATGTGCAGTAATGTGCGGTTTGTAAAGACCGTACAGTCATTTAATCGAACAAAAATTGATTGACTATCAAGGTGGTACGTAGAGTAAGCGCAAAAAAATAATATTCTCCTCTTATTTTTGATAACACTAGGATTTTCTCCAATAAAGTAGGGGCAGTTTATAAACATAAATTGCTCAAGGACAAACATCCAGACCTGGAACAATTATTTCTAGGCCATATAAATACTTGTACCGTGTGGGATTCAAACCCTTGGTATTAGCGTTGTAATTCAATTACTAATCCGCTGCACCACGAAACCGTCAAATTTTATTATTTAGTTTATGTAAAATAATCTCTCGGGTGAGCCTCACACCTAAAGAGTACGTCCCCGGGCGGCGGATAGGGGAATACTCGGCGTCACAGTCGGGTAGGAGGGAAATAAAATACCTCCTGCGGACCAACAGGCCGGAGAAGGAAACTCCGTTATCAAACCGCTGTCACGAGCTGCTTCAACATATTTAGAGTTAAGGTCGTGAGCAGTGCTTTTTGCTTAGCCTGGAGCACTACAGAAGGGACTGCGGCGGGTGAGCTCATGACGAGTCAACGGTGGCGCCCTCACCCTGGAACACACCACACCTGTAACAGCCCCGGCGTCAGGTGGCAACCGGCTGTAAAAATACACTGCATAATCAAAAAAATCTCTTAGTACGTGAGCAAAGCATAAAAGAAAAGTTTAAGGGCTAGGGCGTACCCCTCAAGCGACGACCAGATACGATCCCAAGCGAAAACTGTCAAGGCGTCCCCTGTAAGTGACGAAACAAGACGCAGCACAAATAATTTGCGCATAGCTACATGGAACATCGGTTCCCTTACCGGACACAGCCAAGAATTAGCAAACATATTGAATGCACAAAATATTACCATCTGTTGTATACAGGAATTTAAATGGAAAGGGTCAAAATCCAGGGATATTGGTAGAAACTACCAACTATTGTATAACGGCATATCTTCGACGAATCGGCATTATCCTTGACGAAACATTACAACAACGAACAATGAAAGTGGAAAGAATAAGCGACAGAATCATGTATGTGAAATTAGCTATAGACAACAAATTAACTCTAAACATAGTCTCATTATATGCCTCTCAAGTTGGATGTAGCAATGAAGAAAAAAGCGGCCAAGAGCGTGTCGGGCCACGCTCAGTGTAGGGTTCCGTAGTTTCCCGTCCGTCACAATAAGTGTTCCCACTTATGAGTTTAAAGGTATCCATTATGTTCGCGCTCCAGCAGCGCTCCGCGCTCCTGCAACTGCTCCTGGTAGTGGCTACTGTTGTTTCCATCCAAGTTCAAAATGATTTTCCTAGAAAGTCCTTATAAAGTTCTACTTTTCAGTTTTTTTTCATATTTTCTAAACTTATGGTTCAAAAGTTAGAGGGGGGGGGGGACACATTGTTTTTTACTTTTGGAGCGATTATTTCCGAAATTATTGACATTATCAAAAAACGATTTTAGTAAACCCCTATTCATTTTTAAATACCTTTCCAACAATATATCACACGTTAGGGTTGAAATTAAAAAAAAAACACTTCCCACTTTACATATAGGGGGGCTACCCTAATAAAACATTTTTTTCCAATTTTTATTTTACCACTTTGTCGGCGTGATTGATACTTATTTATTTATTAGGATTACCAACAGAAATAACAACAGTAATACAAAGATCATTTTCATAACATATTAAGTACATTATAATTGTATTTCTTTTTATAGGTAATCACAGCATGCATTGATTATTTAGTAAATGAAAGGATTATAAGAAAAAAAAAATTGAACTACATCAGTGAATAAATAAATTGTTAAAAAGAAATAGAATTATTTAACAATATTGTAGATAACTTCATTATCATATTGAATTACATTAACCACATTATAGAAGACAAAAACAATTCCAATATTATACTTCCAATATTATACTTCTTAATTAATTGATTCATTATTTTTAAAGAAATTGATTAATTTTGATTTGAAGGTGGATAAACTATCGCAAGTAATATCGAGGCCAGAAATCTTCGAGGACAGTTCGTTATAAGTACGAGTCAGTCTGGCTAGAGGGAAATACTTTCCCAACTTAGATCTATAAAGAGATACATTGAAAAAGGCTTGCGGTTTCCTAGGCAGTCTTGATGGCACTTTAAAGTTAAATAATTGAACTATCGCTGGACAATCAACACTATTATTGAGCGTTTTGTATAGGAATATCATGTCTGAGATACTTCTACGTGATTGTAATGATGTGATGTTAAATTGCGCCAACTGTCTATCGTAGGAATCAATAGTTTGATAGCTATTCGAACGGTATGCAAGATGTCGTAGCAGTCGTTTTAGTATTCTTTCAATTCTAATGATATGGATTTTGTAGTGCGGATTCCAAATTTGACTGCAGTATTCTAGTTTACTTCTAACCAGACCACTAAAGAGTTTGATACACATATTGGTACCAAATTTCAGCTTTCTAGTGCTAACGGTCACAAAGATTAAGCGAGGACGGACAGACGGACAGACAGACATGGCGAAACTATAAGGGTTCCTAGTTGACTACGGAACCCTAAAAAGATCTGTTCTAGGGAAACCTAGAAGACCTTTTCGTAACCATACTTTTAAACGAGAAAAAAATTATAGCAGGGGATTTGAATGGCCATGAAGAAGTATGAAAGCACCTGAAAACTTAAACATACATGGAAATTTTGGATATGACACCTCTAATAGCCAAGGTCAGGATATTATGAATCTAGCGACCCAATTTAATCTCCAGATCGAAAACACTTACTTCCTATAAAAAGATGAACACCTCATCATCTACAAAAGTGGAGGTTCGGCTTCTCAAATAGACTTTTTTCTTTTTGACAGATCGATTCTCCGCAATTTTAGGGACTGCAAAGTTATACCACGGATTCCACTGGCAACCCAACACAGACTACTGGTAACCTGTCCGAAAATGCCAAACTGGAATACAAAAGATAAATATCAAAATCATGAACCCCGCATAAAATGGTATAACATACAAAAGGATGAAGGCACTTTATTTATTGATCAGGTTGCTACATACATGAAAGAGATACTTCAAGTCCCAAAAGACAGCAACACTCTATGGAACGATTTCCACATGTTGTGCCTAAAAACCGCCAATACAACCCTCGGTATTATGAAAGGGGTTATTCCATGTCCATCTAATAAAGGCAGTCCTCTTAAGAGAGTTGAAGAGTTTAAGTATCTCGGATTTATTGGAGCACCAAAGGCATGTATAGAAAGAGACATACAGAACCCAAACAGCCTGGTTAAAATGGTGATCGCTGTCAGGCATTCTATGCGACTCCCGCATGCCTAATAAAATAAGGGGCAATGTGTACAAAAGAGCAGTAAGATTAGCTTTGCTATATGGATCTGAGTGCTGGCCGATGAGAAGGACGGATGAACAGAAAATTCACCTCACTGAGATGAAAATGCGACTTTGGCGTGGAGGAGTTTCTAGAAAAGATAAAATGAGAAACGATTACATTCGTGGTAGTTTTAAAGTTGCTACGGTGCACGAAAAATTTAGAGAAAACCGTCTACGCTGGTACGGACACGTGATGCGACGGTATGATGACCATATGAGTAAAAGAGTTATGAACATAGAAGAGGGGAAGAAAGGCCATGGACGACCACCAATAACCTGGCTGCAAACACTAAAAAACGACCTGAAAACTACTAACATATCAAAAAGGGTAACCCACAATCACACGATGTGGCGCAAGATTACTAGGAGCTCTGACCACAATTAAAATGGGACAATTGGCAGGGAGAAGAAGAGTTTATGTAATATAACAATTTGTAAGTTTTCATTCAAATAAATTTTTGTTGACATAATATAAAACCGTGGTTTATTAAAATTAAATAAAATAAATAATAGATAATTACCTAATTAACAAACTAAACCGATAGTTTCTCTTCTTAAGATCGAAGAAGATGATGAACTGTGACACAAATGTATATAATTTGTTGTAAATAAATTAATGATATACACAATCTATGCTATTCAATCATTGATGAGTAGTTGAAATGATTCGCTGTAAGTTCAAAAAGTGAAAAGTTTCACTTCTGTCCTGTGTCTTCACGATACACACTATCTTAAGTCTTTATTGGGAAGACGTTACTACCTATCTCCTGATTTGTTTCTTTTTGTCGCCTTTTTCGACACCCACGGGATGATATGGGGTAGTGGATATCCTTACACCGTCACTACACGGTACAATAAATTATGTACATATATATTATAAAGTCTAAATTAACTTAAACTATACGATAAGTACTATATTTTTCACTTTACACATAATTGTCTGAATTAAAACTAATGTACAAAACGCACACAAATATCACAAATAAATGCACAAATGCAACGACAAAAATTGATAATTTTTTTGATATTATTATCGTAACGAACGGAATGCGTCACCAAGGCCAAATGCGTAATTGTTGCGTTTTGAAAACATACAAATATATGCTCAAAGCAACCTTTGGAGACGTACTATTTAGCACCAGGCTCTTGACCAAAATGTATGTACAAAGATATAGTGACAGTGCTATCCGCACAGAACTCGATAAAATAACATATTGAAATTAATCATAAGCAAACCTGTTCCGACGCGCTCGGAGCACGCCTCATTCTAACCGTGCCTCAGGTAGCATGCTCGAAAATCAAACGTCGGTTGATGTTTGAACACGCTCAGAAAGCATGCCCATTACTAGCAATGAGTGTACACACGTACTACTAGTGAGCACTTGCTCAATAAAATCATGCTTTCGTGCTAGTAATGAGCACGTCTGTCCGTACCTTAAAGTCTAAATCACGCTATCGAAAGTTTCCAAACACCATTGTTTTTGTCCCTAAAATAAGCCTGTGCATTACCTTAATCCCACCAGGTAGTAAGTGGTGATGAAGCCCTAGATTGTAAATCACACTGTTTCAAAAACATAAAGTTGCCTAAACCAAATATAATATGGTCATACAAATCCAAGTCTTGTGTTTGTTGTGCTAAAGATCATTTAAATTTGACAACTCTTACAACTACACAAACTTAAAAACTACCAAAACATCGCAACGAAATCCATATTTGCTTCTCTTTCTATACGTATTTATGATACCGTCGCAAGAACGAGAAACAACGAATATCAACGAAGGACATCGATTAGTTCTTTCAGGTATACAAAAAGTACTCTGTTATTAGTTCGTGGGCCGTGTTGGCATGTCGTTATCGTTCCACGTATGAGATCCCGAAACCCTGTTCCCTGCGAAACGTAAAACGCAAATTGGAACCATGGAACTGTGGAGTGTAGAGGTAAGGAGTACAGACTCTGTATAAAAAGTGTCCGTAGGAAAGCGTTAAATAAGGGTGGCGCCACTGTAGCTACAGTCTAAATTTTAAAGAACTTTTTATAATTTTTTATTGTATAGACTTTCACCATAATTCTTTTTGCAATAATTATTTTATTGCTTTCAAAATTTTTATTTTCAAAATAACTCTTAACGTATTTTACGGCGATTTAACATACCCCGTAGCTACTCGAGCGCTATAGTGGAGAGTTTTTGAACGGTTATTTACTGCTTACAGATGGACACTTTTCAACTATTTTGCTAAGGGAGTTGGTACTCCTTACTTCTACAATCCACAGTTCCACGGTTCCAATTTGCGTTTTACGTTTCGCAGGGAACAGTGTCAGTAATGTGACGGCCCATCATTATTATTAATAATTAAATTCTTAAAAGATAAATATATTACACAATAAAATTACATTAATAAGCATAAAAGTAAGATAAATACATTTCAGACATTAGACAAATATTATAGTAAATTAAAGGCAAAATATTGTCTTTCAAAATAATTGAATTTATTAAAAAACTTGTAAAAATATTTAAAATATGATAAGTTAAATAACATTTATAAAATAATTGGAAAATTGGGTAAACATTGTCTAAGTCATGGAGGGAGTTCGTGTATAAAAGAAAATTTTCTTAAGTTTTGGAGCGTGTACGCGTATAAGAAAATTTTTAATTTATGGAGGGTGTTTGTGTATAGTTCGTATATTTACGCGAACACTACACATTGATTAATTCTACTTTTACGGATTTTATCGCGTTTAATTTTAATTATTTTATTTAATTCTCGATGTTTTGGATGCTTTTCAGCACCCATGGTCACGGGGACTGAGATGACTGACGTCCCGATGACATTGTTAAAAAGGGTACTCCAAGCAATGACATCGGAACGTCAGTCATCTCAGTGCCCCGTGACTATGGGTGCTGGAAAGCACCCGAAACAGCGGAAATTAACAAAATAATTAAAATTAAACGCGATAAAATCCCTAAAAGTAGTTTTAATCCATTGAAGTAATATGTACTTACGTACTAGAACAGCTATTTCAAACAAAAAATGTGCGCTACCAACTCTGTGTTCGCGCTGTTGGCTTTTTATCGTAGTGTTACGAGCTTGAGGTTCGTGACAATAAAACAGTAGTATCGTAGAATAAACATAGGTAGAATGAACAGTAGGTAATAGTAGATTTTATTGTTAAATAGGTAAATAATATCGAGTACATTTTTTAATTTTGTGATTTATTTTGTATATTATATTTGCTTATTTAATATAACATTACATAATATTATATCACAATTATATTTTAATGATATTTTTATCTGAATATTTTAAATAAAGAAACCTACTAAATGTATGTTTAACAAAACTTATTAATATAACATTTAAATTGCAAATATATTTATTTAAATTAGAATAAAAGTCGTTCATAAATGCTGGGCACGCGAGAGTTAAAAATGGACGAATTTATTCCACTTTGACTTTGATCTCATCATCATCATCATTACAGCCCTTCACAAGTCCACTGCTGAACATAGGCCTCCCCCAAGGTATGCCACAAAGCACGGTCCTGAGCCACCTGCATCCATCGACTTCCTGCATGTTTTACCAGGTCGTCACTCTATCTAGTGGGGGGTCGCCCTACACTTCGCCTACCGGTACGAGGCTGCCACTCGAGAACCTTCCCCCCTCTCCAACGGTTACCGCTTCTTCGAGCTATATGGCCGGCCCATTGCCACGTCAACTTACTAATCCGGTGGGCTATGTCGGTCACTCTGGTTCTACTGCGGATATCCTCATCTCTAAGTTTATCACGCAGAGAAACTCCGAGCATAGCCCTCTCCATAGCTCGCTGAGCGACTTTGAGCGTCCTCATACGGCCAGCAGTGAAGGATCACGTCTCGGTTCCGTAGGTCATCACTGGCAACACGGACTGGTTGTACAACTTAGTTTTCAGGTTTTGAGGTATACCTGAAGAGAATATGTGTCGTAATTTCCCGAACGCTACCCAGCTGAGTTGAATCCGCCGATTGAACTCTCGGTCGAAGTTGGACTTACCTTGTCGAACTATTTGTCCCAGGTAAACGTACTCGTCAACAACTTCGAGCATAGTGCTCCCAACAGCTACCGGCATAGGTGTGACATGGACATTAAACATGATCTTTGTTTTGTCCATGTTCATCTTAATACCTATCCGTTGGGAGACACCATTGAGGTCATTGAGCATAGTGCTTAGGTCCTCCAGCGATTCTGCTATAAGGACTATAACGCCGGCAAATCGAAGGTGAGTGATGTACTCGCCATTGATGTTAATACCGTATCCTTTCCAGTCCAGTAGCTTAAAAACGTCTTCCAATGCAGCGGTGAAGAGTTTCGGGGATATAACGTCACCCTGTCTTACACCTCTCTGCAGTTGAATAGGTTTCGAACTTTGGTTCTGTACTCGGATAGGCATTGTAGCCCTACTGTACAAACACTTCAGCATTTCGATATAGCGACAGTCAACTTAGCACCGCTGAAGGGACTCCAGCACCGCCCAAATTTCGACGTAATTAAAGGCTTTCTCATAGTCCTGCGGCAGATTGTACAGAAGAAATAGTTGGTCTTCTGTACAATCTACCGCAGGGTATGATTGTGGTCTATGGTACTGAAGCCTTTTCGGAAACCGGCTTTTTCGGGAGGCTGGAAGTCGTCAAGTCTGCTTGCGAGACGATTCGTAATGACTCTCGAAATCAGCACGTAGACGTGGCTCAGAAGGGAAATCGGTCTGTAGTTCTTCAGAAGAGCGTTGTCGCCTTTCTTAAAGAACAAGACTACTGCACTTCTGCTTCACGCCTCCGGAGTAGTGCCACTATGGAGGACGGAATTGAAGAGCTTCTGAAGGACTTCAAGTACCGGTGTTCCACCCGCTTTCAGAAGCTCCGCTGTAATTACATCCTCGCCTGGGGCCGTGCCGTTTTTAAGGTGCTGGAGAGCCATTTAATCTCGCTCAGACTGACGTCTAGGATATCATCGGAATAGTGTCGGGTAAGACTTGCGCTTGGATCGTTACTTACACTTGCGTGTGGCTCCAACGATGATGTGTACAGCTGCCCATAGAACCTCTCAATCTCACCCAAATCTCAGGTGTCCCGGAAACGATGCTTCAGTCAGTCTTTAGCTTTGACATTTGGCTCTTTCTAGCAGACAGATCTCTGGCAAAGACTTCGGAGCCCTGGTTCCGCTCGATCGCTTCTTTAATACGAACAGTATTAAAGTTGCGTAAGTCTCGTCGCGTGCATTTGGAGATCTGTCTGTTCAGTTGCCTCTATGCTGTCAAATCTGTTGACGATTGCTGCCTCATCTCCCGTCTAACATCCATGAGATTAAGAGTGTGATCGCAGAGTTTTGTGTTCTTCTTCAACGGGTCTTGC